GGTACCAATATACTTCTCCACTCATCAGGCATCTTGTTCGATCGAAAAATATGGTTGAACATTTTGGTTAGCCATACTATAGCTATGTCCTAGAGGCATCTCCACACCTCGATTGGGATACCATCTGGTCCCATCGCCTTACCTCCTTTCATCCTTTTCAACGCCTCTCTGACCTCAGATTCTTGGATTCTCCGCACAAAGCGCCTATTGGTGTCATCAAAAGAGTCATTCAACTGAAAGGTTGTGTCCATATTCTTACCATTGAACAATTTATCAAAATACTCTTGCCATCGATGTCGGATCTCATCCTCCTTCACCAAGAGATGCTCCCTTTCATCCTTAATACACTTAACTTGGTTGAAGTCCCGTGTCTTTCTCTCACGAACCCTAGCCATCCTATAAATGTCCTTCTCTCCTTCCTTCGTACTCAAATATTGGTAAAGATCCTCGTATTGCCACACTTATAGCTCGCTTTGCAGTCTTTTTTGCCACCTTGTACTTCTCTATGTTGTCCACACTCCTATCATGGTACAAGCGTCTATAGCATTCTTTCTTCTCCTTAATAGCCCTTTGGACTTCCTCGTTCCACCACCAAGTATCTTTAGCCTCACCTCCACTTCCTTTGGTTACTCCACACACCTCTGAGGCCACCTTCCGAATGTTGGTTGCCATCTTCTCTCACATGTTATTTATGTCGTCTTCTTCCTTCCAAGAGCCCTCTTTGATAATCCTTTCCCTGAATACCTCTGGCGTCTCCCCTTTCAGTTTCCACCACTTTGTTCTTTGAATCTTAGCTTGTTTATCCCTACGGGCACGCACCTGAAAACGAAAATCTGCCACCAAAAGCTTATGTTGAGAAACAACACACTCCCCTGGTATCACCTTGCAATCCAAGCATGCTCGTTTGTCCTTTCTTCTTGCCAGGACAAAGTCAATCTGGCTACAGTGTTGTCCGCTACTGAAGGTCACTAGATGAGATTCTCTCTTTCTAAAGAATGTGTTGGCTATCATCAGGTCAAAAGCTACCGCGAAGTCCAAAACTTCCTCCCCCTCCTGATTCCTACTACCATACCCAAAACCTCCATGAACTGTCTCGAAACCTGCGCTTGTAGTACCTACATGCCCATTAAGATCTCCTCTTATAAAAAGCTTCTCACTACTAGGTATAGCTCTAATCAGGCCATCTAAGTCTTCTCAGAACTGTCTCTTAGCACTCTCGTCGAGGCCTATCTGGGGGGCGTACGCACTAATTACGTTCAAGACCATATCACCAACGACAAGCTTGACTAAGATAATCCTATCTCCTTGCCTTCTCACTCCCACCACACCATTCTTGAGGCTCTTATCAATCAAAACTCCTACTCTATTTCTATTCGCGACTGTCCCTGTGTACCAAAGCTTGAAACATGTATTATCCACCTCATTCGCCTTCTGACCCTTCCATTTAGTCTCTTGAACGCATAATATATTTACACGCCTCCTAGTCGCGGTATCAACTAATTCTCTTAACTTACCTGTAAGTGACCCTACATTCCAACTACCTAAACGGATCCTAGTTGGTTCGACTAGCTTCCTTACCCTTCGCACCCGTCGACTCAGATGCGAAGACCCTTGCTCATTTTTCACTACACCTGGGAGCCGATGTAGCGCGCCACTAAGGAAGCGACGACCCGATCCTTGCTCACTTGACACCATGCCCAGATCACGACACGGCGCGTCACGGGGGTGACGACCCGGCCCTTGCCCATTTAAGACCATACCCGGGTTCCGATATGGCGCGTCGCTAAGAGGGTTACGTCCCAACGATTTTCTTTCGGATTTCATCTCCATTAAAGTGGCTAAGTTTTTACATTGGCTCGCCACGCCTAACACAACCCTCCTCCTTTACCAGGACTTGGGACCTGCTATGCTGGGACACCAAAGGCGCCCCACCATAGGCGGAGTTATGATAAATTTTAATTTAATGAAATTTTTTTATTTTCCTATATTTCATGTGCACAAAAATTCATAAATAAATTATTTTAGCTCTATTTCAAAAGAGGCAAATTTTAGGGTGTTACAGTCTAGATTTAATTTGATGGCATGCACTAAGCCACTAACACTTGATATAGTGATTTGCCTCCATGTACTCACCCTCTCCGGTCTCCAACTTGGTGACATTTACATGGGCAGTGCAAATGGGATTAGTATAAAAAAGACATTTACATGGGCAGTGCAAATGGGATTACTATAAAAAAATTTAGATGAAATGCAAGAGGTGATTTTCTAACTCGAAATGTATACCACTGAACAATAGAGGCAGACATGAATTGCCTTTAAGAAGCTACTTCTAAATTGTTTTCTGTAACAATGAGGTAACAAGATTGTATTTGAGAAATTAATTTGTGCAATATATTATACAGAGAATATGCACCTTTTGCCTCTCATGTAATGTTCCCCTGCTTAGTATATAGAGACTTTATTGGCCTTCTTTTCCATTTTTGTACTTTGACAAGATGGTGGAGGAAAAAAAATAAGTTGCGTATCCTGTGTACGTACAAAGTACAAACAATGCCCTACAAGTTATTAAGTCACATTACATATTAAGCTAGTTAACTCTTGAAGTCAGTTTAGCATTGAGCTTCTTGAGCAAATTGTGTCATAGATTTGAATTAGTTAGTATCCTGGTTTCTATACATCATTATTCTGATATATAATTAGGAGAGGTCATTTTCACTGAAAAGGAACAGTATCTTAGCTAGAATAATAACATGTATAACAGTCGCTGAGCTCTTGATCCCACAGAACATCATGCTGATACAGGAATTGGATCACTTGAAACTGAATGCAGCTTAACCATGGGTTTTGCTTAGAGAGTAGGATACCCTTTTCTAAGCATTATGCATCTCAGGGGCCAAACCCAAAGAAGAAATATTTGTCGAAGCATCCTGGTATGTTTTGAGCAAAACAGCATGATTTTCTAGTGGTTTGAATTCTCTAAAACAAAATAGTGGCATGAGACTGACTTTTTTTTCTGTTGTATATTCAGAATTTCCATTATATCGGATTGCTAAATTTCGAAACCACTTACTAAATAGGATAGTTAAAAGAGGAGTTTTGGACTTGATTCGTTTCTTGTTCTTTTATATACAGAAGAGTTATTAACGAAGGTTAAATAAAACAATGTGAAGGCTTGATATAGATGGACAACTAATGATAGCCACAACTCTGTAAGTTGTAATTTGCTGCTCTCCCCCTCTGATTCTGCGCAGCAGGGGTTGGCATTGTGGTCAGCTCTTGCTGCTGTAGAGGTATGGCAATAGGCCATCACCTTGTACTAGATTGTACAGTAGGTAGTAGTGGCTTATCTCAGCCATACCAAGTAGTTGAGGCTGATCTCAGCCATGTCCTAGAGGACATTGTAGTAGGTGTACTAGTGTACCTTGTAGAGGTACTAGACTTGTATACATACTAAGGCAATGGCAATGAAACAAGCCAGTTCAGAGCAGCAAGTTTCAGAGTTCAGACTTATGCAAGTGCTGTGCTCGTGTGCTCTGTTCTCACTCCCTTCTTCAACCTCTAGCCGTGGCGTGTGTGTGTTGGTGAGCTAGCTGCTCACCTGTGCAGGGAGATCGTAGGCCAACAACTCCATAACCTTGTTGCTTATATATTATCATGCATTTGTATATTTGTAAGAAACGTAAAAATCTATAAATTATTTTTTTTGTTTGTAGAAAAATATGGAACTTCTAAATTTTGGAATCTTATATAGCAATGTATAGTATTTCTAAATTTACAAATTCCTTACTAAACAAATCTAAATATCAGTGTTGATTTCAATTGGCATGGACCACGTGCACAGGCATTGAAATATCCAATTAAAAAGGGATTTTAGAATTGAAACTTGCAAAAGAAACTGCAATAGACATCAAACATGCCTCTCTGTTTTGTTTAAGTTACCTTGAACATGTATTGCATGTCTTTTTTCAACGTGCTGGATTGTCTCGTGAAGAGTTTAAAACATGTTGCCTGGGAGGACCATTGTTATGAATTATGATCTGTAAACTTGCCATTTAGCACCTGACATCACTAGCTCCCTGCTTGGCTGCCTATAGTATCAATAAAGTGTAAGATGGTACTATCTTCGGGTTTCCTGTTCTGAGGGTATAGATTGTAAGTCTCTCCTTTTTCCAGGTAAAACAAAGTTTTATTCCATATAGGGATTTAGATAAACTTGCAGCTAACTTAACCTTAGTTTTGAAGCCTTTTGTGATGAAACTGAAGTAAGTGCCAGTAAGGCAGTACCTTGCTAGTAAGTTATGGATTGGTGCAATTGTTTGTACTGGTTGCTTTCTTTCTTGTGGTAGCCTGTCCTTTTGGCTTGAGGTATGTGGAAACAATAGAGTTAGGTGTGTTTTAGGGGTATTGACTCCAGGATTCTACAATTCTGCTTACTTGTGTATTGTACTGCATAAGAGAACTATGAACTGCAGCATTTCAATTTGATTTACAGTCTGTAATGCTTTGGTCCTGATGTTGATTGGTGGGGAGACAGATAAGCACTTGAGGTTTGGGGATCTCATCACAACATTGCCCGTTTACTACTTGGCTGATTAAATTATGAGAACAAACTGTTGTTTAGTGGCCTGGGTTGTATTGTAGCATTGCATGTTACAGTTATGTTCACTTGATTCTTTTTTACTGCCATACGATATTTGTTATGTTCAAATTTGGAACAGAAGTGGCTAGGATGTTTTATTTGTTATAGGTAGCATAGCACATAATCTGTCCACTCATGTTGCGAGCCAAGCAACAATTTCGGTGCTTGATTTTTGCTATTCATGGCTCAATGAAATTGAAGTGAAGTAGCCATCTGATCTTTTCATCAATGCTTTCTGAAAATCATGTCCATGGCCCTTGCCCTTTTTAAAATTCTCACTTGGTCATATGATTTGGTTCCACTCTAACTTAGCACTGTTGTGTGTTGACTTTATTCTGACTCGCTCTTGTTAATGTTTTAGATGGATGAAGTGCTGGCAGCAGTAGCTGAGACCATAAAGAACTTTGCAGTCATCTACCTCGTTGACATCACAGAGGTCCCTGACTTCAACACCATGTACGAGCTGTACGACCCTTCGACGGTGATGTTCTTCTTCCGGAACAAGCACATCATGATCGATCTCGGGACAGGAAACAACAAGAAGATCAACTGGGCCCTGAAGGACAAGCAAGAGTTCATCGACATCGTGGAGACTGTTTACAGGGGCGCCCGGAAAGGCCGCGGTCTGGTGATTGCTCCAAAGGACTACTCCACCAAGTACCGTTACTAAGAAGGCAGACATTCACGCCGGGCAGCTGCTGCTGTTTGCTAGCCTACTAGTATGTCCCCCTCCCCCCCCCCTTATGCAATCTATTGGGGATGTTTACTCCGACAGTCAGTCTGATAGGTGATGCTTAACTGTATCTTGGCATGCCTAGTATATATTCAAGTTGCTGGCGAGCGGTGCTTAACTATATCTTGGCATGCCGTAGTGAACTTGTAAAGTTGTGATTTGTGGTGATTGATGATCGAGTGTCAAAAGAACAGGATTTGTGTTCTCCCTTAGTATGGCTATATGTGCTACTAATAATAAGAAACGGTTACTGGTTTGGAACATGGTAACTGAATATGGATGGCTTCCTTTGGTATTTTTATCATTGAGTACTCCTCATCAACCTGTAACTTTCATATCGATGGAGTTCTTTTTGATGGTGTCCTGGCTATGTTTTTTTTAGCTCTGAATTACGCAGAAGAAGCTTGTTTGGCCGCGTCCAGCTTTGTGATTCTAGGAACCATGCAACAGTCTTATTTGTGTGCTTTGTAAAAAGTACGTAGTATATATTCAAATCTTTTTTTTTTGCCAAGTTTTCACCCAAGCTGGATGGTAAGCGGGGGCTTTGGTGAGCTGAGAAATGGCAACAGTGTGTTCAGTTGTTCACGCTTCAACCTCTACTGGTGAAGATAAGAAGCCAAACGAAAACGGAAATGATAGGACGTGGGCGTCCATCCAGACCAGACGCCGCGCGTCTGGGCTTGCTGACCAGCCGGCCCAATAAATCTCGCGTCCATTTCCTTCCGTTGCTCCTGCCGCCCGCCTCGCGCTGCTTCTCCTTCTCCTCCGCCACCTGTGCCCCCTTCTGTTGTTCCTGCCGCTCGCCCCGCGCTGCTCCTGCTCCTCTGCCGCTCGCCCCACTGCTCCTATTGCTGCTCCGCGCGCTCGCCTCGCTGTTCCTGCTCCGCGCGCCCGTCTCGCTACTCCGATGCTGCGCGCCTGCTCCGCCACCCGCTTGGCCCGATGACACTGACGGACGCCGCCAGTGCAAGGAGAAGTGTCTGGCCCGGGCGCGGAAGCCCTCCGGCCTTGCCTGTTGCTACGGTAGCGGCTCCCTGATGTAGATGGCAGAGGATGCCGCATCGGGATATGATGCATGTTGCAAGCTCACATTTTTAATGTTTCAGATATTTAGAGGTATGTTGCAAACGTTTCATACGAATGTTGCAAAAGTAGATCGGGATGTTGCATATGTTGCACACGTATGTTGCAAGAGTTTGTCTCCAATGTTTCATCTGTTTTTCAGAATATGTTGCGAGCGTGTTTATTTGGATGTTGCATATGTTTTCACACATATGTTGCAAGTGTTTTATCTGAATGCTGTGTATGTTTGTAATGTTTTCAAGTGTTTCGTATGCATGTTTCTAGTGCTTCGTCTGTCTCTCTTTTTATGTTGCAAGTGTTGGAACCGAATGTTTCAAAAGTAGATCAGGTGTTACACATGGGATACGCGTGCGAAGCTGGAGGGGACGCGAGTGGTCGCACGGCGCGGGCCCCCGCGTGGCCGCGAGACGTAGGCGTGGGCCCATGCGTGGACGTGCAAAAACAAACTGCGGCCGCAAGCGTCCGCCAGACGTCCGGGCGCTAGCAATGCCACTAAAAACTTATGGCGTGGCTAGCGCCCAGACGTTTGGACGCTAGCCCCGTTCGGACGCCCGCATCTGTCCACCCACGTCTCGCCTGCTGCGCCCGCCCACAAGCACATGGGACCCGCCTGCGCTAGTGGGGACCGCCTCCACATGCGCTTGCTTCCCGCGCCTGCCACGGAAGCGAGACAGTAGAAAGATGAAACGGGAGATGCAACACCCAATATAGTTTTGAAACATCTAGTTGCAACAATTACAACGTAAGTCTAAAAACAAATGAAATATTTGAAACATGTGTCTGAAATACTTGTAAAAACATCTAAAAAACACTTAAAATATTGTAAACATAGCAACATCTAAATAAAAATCATGGTAAAGAGGTGGCCAGAGACGGAAAGGCACCTTGATGAGTGCCTATTTGGTGCGGCCTTGTTTATCTACTCCGCTGGAGCTTGGACGCAGAAGCCTCAAGTTCCTCCACATAAAAAATGACTACGGCTACTCTCCTTGTACGAAAAAAAAAAACATCTCTCAGACGTTTTGGTACGGCATCGAGCCAGTTAACTAGTGTACGTGTTCCATTACCGTACGTGCATTTAGGGGCTGTCTGCGTAGAGGCCTGGGGCTGGCTCGACGAGCGTGTTTGGTTCCTTCCGAGACCGACGTCTTGCTTGGGCAGCTCCGCGCCTCCGCCAGGCAATAGCATCCGTCGGACGCCTGGCGTTGATGCCTGGATCAAACAACGCCCGATATACCTGGACGAGGCTCCAAGCCAGGTCATGATGCAAACTCTCCGTCAGCCACTCGATCAGGAGGTCAGGTGATGGTCCGTGGGCGGAGCGGAGATTCGCATTCGCTGACTAATTAATGCCCGCGGCATCTGGCCGCCGGGAATTGGATCGTGATCGAGCAGGGTGATGGCCTGATGGCCTATCCCCGAGCAAAGATTCTCTAATCGCGAGTCCCTTGTCTTGCACGGCGTCGTCGGGCCGCTGCTCGGCTGCTCTGTCCTGTGTGTGTGTGTGTGTGTGTGTGTGTGTGTGTCTGCGTGTCAGTTTCAGCGTCTGGCCTGTCGGGAAGGGAACACGAGCGGAGACGGAACGCAGACCGACACCTATCTCTGTCTGCGGCCCAGTCGGTCTCGGTCATACATTGATTCATTACATTAGTATTAATTATAGTGATTATTTATTATTATAATCTGAACGCGTTTAGAAAACTAGTAGTAGTAGTGCAGTGTTGGTGGTACACACTACACACTGTAGAACGAAGCAAACGAGACGCTGACGCAGCATCGGCCGTCGGCCCTGGCTGTCTTGAGTGATGGGAGGAGCTGTTCGCGGTCGGCCCACGCATGCATGTCCCTACTCTTTTATTTTCTTTTCTGGGAGAAGCGTGGTCGGCTGATCTGACGCTGGACGGAGATCCTGTCCGCTGGTGGTGGAGTGGAGGCACAAGCCGCAGCCCCGCAGGGCACTGTCAATCATCAGCTGCCTGACTCTGATCGAGAGTACACTTGTGAATCGTGGAACGTTCCAAGCTTTGGAAACGTATACTGTAGTAACATAAAAGGCATGTCTTCCGATCACTTGATATTTTTTTCTGAATATGTACTACTTCGTTACTAGAAAAGTTGGGTTGCAGAGCCACCGCGATGTCCGGCTGCGCTCACGCCATCGCCTCGCCTTAATGACGCTGCAACCGCGCAAGCCATGCCCCCACTTGCCTCCCCACACGCGCACGTGGTCTGGTGCGTGTCGCGTAGTGAGTTCACGGGCATGGTCGCGAGTCCGGTTGACTGCTAGCTGCCAAGGTAAGGATGGCCAAAGCTCGAACCCGTCCCTCTTTTCCTCTGCTGCCGCCGTCAGAGCCGCGCCAGCACGTTAGACAACGAGAGGTCATCTCCAATCAATTCCGCCCGTCTATGGCCCCGCCAGTGAGTTCTCCAGCTGCCCAACCCCACCCAGCCATAAAGCACGCACTGCCAAGCTCCAATTTGAAGCTTTCCCCGCCGTCGAGCTGATAAGGCCGTGATCGGCAGATGCCGATTGCAGCCCTCCTACCGCCACCCCGAACCAATTCACCTGCACTACTAGCTTCGCCTTGCCAACTACTACCGCCTCCTCGTCGCTGCTGATGCGACCATGCCACCGCGGTGCGCCGCCGCACGGCTCAACCTCACGTGGCCACCCCTCCTCGACCATCCTCCACCCCAACCGTCACCTCGTCCTAGTCCACGGTAGTCTCCTGATGCTCACTCGCTAGCCAATTTGGTCCGTAGCAGCCCTAGCTCACCGGAGCGGGTGTGCCGCCAGCGTGGACGGCCGCATGGCGGTGCAGCTCGCTCCAGCGTGTCCCACCGCCCCGCGTTGCTGCTTGATGTAGGTGGTTGGACCGTAGTTGAAGGTTGGCCCGACCGATGGGCTAGCACGAGCCTCTGGTGGCCAGCGCGGTCGCGTCGCTGAAAGGTCCTTGTTGGTTTTGGTAATTGAGTGACAACCTAGGTGGACTAATTGTGTTTATGTGAGATACACAGGTAATTAGTTCATAGGTACATGTGTGTGAGCAACATATGCCATGAAGGTGAAAATGGCTTAGAGATGTTGCAAAGCTCAGACATGTGATGATGAAGGAGCTTAACGCACATGAGACATGACATTGAGTCATGTGATCAAGGTGGAGAAGATCAAGACAAGACTTGGCTTGATGGACCGGTTGCAAGCGTGAAGGGCAAGTCAAAGGCTTTGGAGTGATGGACCGCGTGGCGGTGAAGCTTGAGCAAGACTTGGCGCCGATGGACGATAGCAACGGTGAAGAGCAAGTAGAGTCAAGATCGATGAACCAATATGATCATGTGATGATATGAAGTGGATCATATCATTGTTGATCGTGTTGGTGCATGTGTTGCATCGACATTGAAGGAGATGGAATGGAATGCGCAAGGCAAAGGTATAACCTAGGGCATTTCATTTCACCGGTCATAGGTGTGTAGAGAAGTTTATGACCGGGTTTAGGATAGATGGCCGTACTATCAAGAGGGGCAAACTTGTTTGCATATCGGTCATCTAGTGCCACTCGAGTGATCTAACTTTGCATTGTTGCTAGGATCGAGTGGCGTGGAAAGTTGAGTGGCTAACATCCTTTGGGAAATGATTGTGAAAATGCTAACACACATACACATGGTGGTGTACACTTGGTGGTGTTGGCACATTTACAAAGGAGGTGGTGTTTGCAGGGATGAGATGGGTTTGGGTCTCGGCGCTTTCGGGAAAATAGAATGCCTATTTTCTATTGCGCCGGATGCAAGTTCTTATGGTTAGCACATTGGAGCAAGGGTGATGAAGTTAGAACTGAAAACGAGTTAGTCGCGAA